GATAGCAAGCATCGCCTGTTTTATATCGGGTATTGGGTAAAGAGCGCAAAGAACCAGCCATAACACACTGCCTTTTTTCAGCTTCTCCGGAAACAGAAGTCACTTTCTGGATCCTGCAACACTCCAGTAGAATTAGTATTTTCTGTCCCTCTAGATCACTCACACAGTTTCACAAAGAAGTGCTTGCTGCTCTGCTGGTTAACTAGGGGAAGAAAGAGAAGAAGTCAACAGGCCAGGAGGTGCTGTGGGTCAATGTAAATCTGTTGCTGTTTTCTCCTGGGAGAGGTCTTATACTTTAAGTTTGCTACTTTTTTTTCTTTTTAAATATTTTTATTGATTTTTAGCGAGAAGGGAAGGGAGAGGGAGAGAAAGAGAAACATCACTGATGAGAGAGAATCATTGATTGGCTGACTCCTGCCCGCCCCCTACTGAGGATCGAGGCCCCAACCTGGGCATGTGCCCTGACTTGGAATCAAACCAACAACCTTTCGGTGCCTGGGATGCTGCCCAACCAACTGAGCCACACTGGCCAGGGCAGTTCAGCTATTTCTTGGGGTGCCGGAGTCCATTCATTGTCTTCACTAGCTGAGTTTAGACAGAGCCCCCCCCAAAAAGCTAGTAGCCATTGAAAGTCCTAGTAAAGGTCAGGGCTGTGCACCAGCCAGTTAATCTAGGAACCACTCAGTTAATTTAGGTAATAATAGTTGAAGCATCCCCACCTTAGTTCCCTTAATTCCTTAGATACTTATGTAGATCCTTGTTGATTATTGTTAATCAGATACTCTGCCTACACTCGGAAATCTATTGATAAGCTAATCAGTTACTCTGCCTACACTCGGAAATCTATTAGTGAGTTAATCAGATACTTTTGTCTACTCCTGGAAATTGTCTGCTGATCTGTGTGTCATTGAAACTTCCTTACCCTAAGGGCTACTCCAGATCAATAAAAGATTGGAGCAGCCTGAGCATGGGTGGAAGTCCCTCTCCTTGAGTTGGACTTGCCCGCCTGGTCCTCCAATATTGCAAAATTATCTCGTGTCTTTTTCTCTCATTTGCTGTGCGGCTCCTCTTTCAGGTACCGAACCCTACTCCACGCGGGACGTGGAAGGAAACACCCAACATTGGGGGCCACTTATTTCCTGCTCGTTATTCGGCTTTTATCTCCCCCAACAACACACGAAGCCCAAGCTGGGTGCAGGCCTCTGAAAGGTGTGTTCTGTGCCAAACCTCAGGCAAGACCAATTTAGACTGTGACGCCAAAAAGTCAACTTTTCTCAGCAAATAATCCATTCTTTAATTTCTAAAGATGTCTAAGCAAGACCATTTAATCCCACCAATCACCCAAGGCTTCTGAGAATGCCTCCGGAAACATGCTGCCCTGTGGAAAAGCTAACCTCCTCAAGCAGGAAACACCTTCGACGGAGGTGTATTGGAAGCTGGCTTCCTGCTCCAGGAATCCCACGCGCTAGAACCAGAAGCATTCACGGAGCGTTCCATCCGTCTTCTCGACTCCCTCCCAAAGCTGAGACTGTGTATTTGCTGCACGAAGCAGTCGTCCAATTACTACTGAAAAGCTTCCAAGCACGATGAGAGGCCAAGGCAAGGGGCAGGAACAGCTCATCAAAGGCAAGGAAAGCTGGATCCAAAATAAATCCAGTACAAAATGCCCAGAATAGCCCAGAAAGACAGCTGATGACCTTTTCTTCTAAAATCTCTTAATATCACAGTGTCAAATGGCCTATGTAACTAAAGCCAAGCACATAATTACTACCATAAGGGTAAAGGAATAAAGTAAAAACGAACATACAAATAAGAAAAGCTGATCATATGATGACAACTTGTGTTTTGAAATACAAATTGAAACACAAAAGACAAATACAATTATTGGACTATGCTTAGGAGTCAGCCATTGGCAAGGAAAGACCTCTCAGTTCAAGGTAATAGTCACAGGAAACTGTCAAGGCTATTTCAAGCTCTGAAAGCTACCACATTTTCTAAAGAGACAGCATATATTATTTTTTTTCCCCTAAAGACTAAATGAATCCTGCTACAATGGCTTAAACCACCACACCCTTAATTGAAGTCTCCTCTTGGTTGAACCAGCTCTGGGCTGTGATTTGAGGAGAGGACAGCATTATGGTAGCAAGGAACACATCCTGGGAAGCCCTGATTCAAGCCTCGAGCTGCTGCTAAATGAAGATTTAAGTATATTGAAATCCCTTCTTCCACTTCTTCATCCCTGAAGCAATGGAGAGCCTTGGCTAATTGACATCCTGGTTTCCCAAGAATACCATAATATTAAACCACAGATCCACCGAGAGTCAAAATTCCCTTGAACCTTCTCCCTCCTTCTTAAAAAACTGCTGAGACTACATAACTAAGTGCCATCAGAGATGCTAAGGCCTCCTAATTAAATGTATAAATGCATTTGGAAAGAAAAACACACCACTGATTCAATTATAGAGTTACTGTGTGCTCACACCCACATACAAACACCTCCCCACACATTTTGCTAAACGTGTAAACATTCCCTTTCTGTCTGCAGCTATATGCTTGCATGTCTGTATTAAGAAGAAAAGAAAAAAATCAAAGCCACTGACTGCCAATTTCCAAAGAGGTGAGGAGAAAACAAAGCAACCGAGAATAAAGACTGCTAGCTTCACCCTGGATGGTGTGGCTTCGTTGGCTGGAGCATCGTCCTGTACACCAAAAGATGGTGGTTTCCATTCCCAGTCAGGACAACATACCCAGGTTTCAGGTTCAATCTCAGGTTGGGGTTCTTGAGGAAAGCAGCTGATTATGTTTCTCTTTCACATGGATATCTGTCTGTCTCTCTCTCTCTCTAATATCAATTCTTTTTAAAGTTGAAGCAAATAAAAATTTTTTAAAAAGAAAAGACTTCTAGCTTCATCCACACCCTCACGCACAAAAGAAATGTATGCTTGAGGGAATGGCTCTAAAAGCAAAACTATATCTCCATTCAATAGTAAAGATGACCTTAGATATTTGGTTGGAGAGGGAGAGATTTCTAAAGGAGAAAAAAATGGAAGGGAAAATCTTGTGTAAGTTTCATGATGAAAAGAAATTCATTTATTCATTGTCTCAGGTTATAATGAACCAAGGATACCACCTATGTGACACACACGTTCAAGTAAGATTGTTACCCCCAAGTTTTTTCAGAATTTTTAGTATGAATTGCCTAGAATAAAGACTATTTGAGCCCTGGCTGGTGTGGCTCAGTTGGTTGAGTGTCATCCCATTCCAGTCAGGGCACAAGCCTGGGTTTCTGGCTGGATCCCCAGTAGGGGGCCTGCAGAAGGCAGCCAATAGATGCTTCTCTCTTCCTAACTAGCATGCTTAGAACATCCCGTTGAAACAGACAAATCACCTGGCCAGCTAAAATCAACCTGTCTGCTTTCACAGGTGTCTACTTCAGCATCACTCCACAGAGATGCAAAATCTAAATGACTGAGTGGTCCCTGAACACACAAAACACAATCATCATCAAAATATATGCACAAAAATATCCAATGGAGCACTATTTGTAATACATCCAAATTGGAAAACTACCTAAATATCCACCAATTGTAAAAGAGATGGATAATTGAGTAGCATAATAGCAAGGAAAATGAAAAATGTAATATCATAGATGAATTCCACAACCATAATAAGGAAATTAAGCCAGACACAAAGGAAGACATACTGTATGATGCTATTTACATAAACTTTAAAAACAGGCAAACTAATCAATGAATGGCATTAGAAATCAGGAAGTAGATTATTCCTGGGAGCATTAGGAAAGAGGGTGCTGGCGTGCTGTTACCCAGGTGTGTCCACTGTGTCATAATTATCCCAGCAAGCCATCCACTTCTGATCTGTGCTCTTTCCTCTACGTAAAAGATACGTCGATAAAAAGCTGATTGAAAAAGAACCTGGGGAACATCTGGTCTGCTCTCCTTGGTTGGCATAAAAGTAATTGTTTCCCCAGCGGTTAAATGTCTCAAGGACACAGGAAATCCAAGGAAAGGCTAGGACTGAACATTAGGTCTCTTAACTCCCCATCCAGGTGCCAAAACTACCTCTCGAAGGTGGGAGGATGTTTCTCCAACTCCAGTCCTTGTTGTGACTACAGCCACAGTTTAGAAGGATTAGGGTCACATTCGTATTAAGAATACAACCCAGACATTTCCAGTCCCCTATCGACAGATGCGCCATAAAAAGCTTTAAACACTATTTAGGATGTGGCGAATCAGAAAGTCAGACAGTGCTATGCTCACACCCCAGGTTCTGCCACTTACTAGCCGTGTGACCATCTGCACGCTCCTTACTACTCTCTGAATCTCAATATCTTCATCTAGATCACTAAAATATTAACTCCTACTCTGCAAGGTTGGCAGGAGGATGATCTAAGGCAATAGTGTCAGAGCAGTACCTGGTATGTGGCAAGCACTCAGAAAAAGTAGTCATTGAATGAAAATTGAACTGAATTAGTCAAGTGCTTGTCACTTAGTACAACCTCAATAAATAATTGTCATTATTACTGAGCAAGAGAAACAGGGAGGAATGGAGTAAGTAAGCTTATATGAAAACACTTCGTTTTTCTAAGCCTATAGGGTCCTTAATGGGTTGACCAATTCTCACTGACTTTGATGGGGCACTGAAATGGTCTGAGATAAAGAACAGTAAAGGATTTGAAGAGAAGGCGGTGCTTTTTATGTGCTACCAGGTCTGTGTTTTCCTTCTCAGTAACAAAAGATGATTTGCTCAGTGACAGTCACAACAAGCCTAAATTCACAGCCATCTATGTAAGTCATATTATTTTTAGAATTAAAAAATTTTAAACGGGGTGGGTCACAAATTGTCATAGGCATAATGAGTAGACTGACATAGTCAAGTAACTTTACTAGTGGGGAAAAATTTACACACTGAGTATCCAGAAAGGTAATTGCAGGCTTTAAAGATGTGAGAAACAAACAATGGTGATGAGTGAGTTTACTTACATTAAAAAGGAAGGTTTAGCACTGATTTCTCCTTCAGCTCTTCAAATCTTGCTCGTACTTATTAGCAGGCTGATCCATAAAGTTCTTTAATACTGAAAAGATATGGAAAAGATAAATTAACACTAATTTCCAATTATAGCTGACCAGAGAAAAAATAAAATCCATTGATGGGTAAGTTGTTGTATAAGAAGAAGATAACACACATGTTAAGAAAATGTGTTAAGAACCAAGAGATTTAACTGATAATCCTTCCCTTTATCTTGCTACCGTTTCCTCCTCCGTGTCCCCTCCTCTTCCTTCCTTCCTTCTCCCCATCCAGCACTGCCTCCCTCTCTTCTTCCTTATTTCCTGCTACTGGACAACCTCAAATATTCCTCAAAGCCTGAGTTTCTGCTACCACCAGCATTAAATGTTATAGTCCAAAGTGCCTGACATATGTTAGGTCCTCTATGAATGTTTGTTGAGTAAATAAAAAAACCACAGTTTTCCAATATCTCTTTACGATGTAAAAAATGAAGAGATTTATTATTTTCTTGTCCAACAAGAATAATATGTAGACAATATTGTAGAAACATATACACTGTTTTTTAGACTTTTCTGATTGATTCCCTTTTAAATAATATAAACTTAGAAAAAAAATTCCCATTAGTATTCCTATGGACATGTAGATTCACACCATTATAGTTATAAAATATAATAAAGGTAATAAAGGAATGTTTAGGAGATGGGAGTTCCTTTTGAGGTGCTCACTCTTCAGACACCCCAGGATTCCCTCCATTTACATGAGAAAGCAAAGTAGCTCCAAGTTAAACATGACCTCACATGTGATCTCAAATGCATATATAGTCGGGGCCAGGCCCAGACAAAACTGTGAGGTAGGAGTGGAGTAGCTTCCTTCTTCTATCTGTGCCTTTGAGGAGTCAGTGACTCCAGATGTTTCATTAAGTAGGAAAAATAGGATCGGCTCCAAAGTTCCAACAACTTGATGGATATCCTTCCTGAGGACATTTTCATTCAAAAAAAGAGAGAGAGAGAGAGAGAGAGAGAGAGAGAGCTTCAGAAGGCAGATGCTTGACACCGAAATAAAATGCATTATTGACAAAGGAATTTCAAGCACGAATGGGGGATACAGATTGTCTTGAAGGAATTTCTCGACTCAGGTTCACATCTGTCCATTTGGCCTCCCCTAAAGCTGGCTTCATGTATGATCAATATACAGGGGTGGGCAAATGTAGGTTTACAGTTGTTATACAAATAAATAATACAAGAAATCTAATCTAATAAAAGAGAAACATGCAAATTGACCGCACCTCCACTATGCCCAAGCCATGCCCACCAGCCAAACAGAGCAACTATATGCAAATTAACCCAAACAAGATGGCGGCCGGCAGCCACGGAGCTGGAGCAAGCAGGAGGCTTGGTTGCCCCGGAGATGGAGGAAGCCAAGCTTCCCGCCTGCCCTGGCCAGCTGTGGCCTCTGCTCAAGGCAACAAAGTTTCAATTATAGAAGATAAATAAATCCCAGATACCTGCTTCCAGCCAGC